TCCATTGCTGATGTTGCGCTTGGCGGCATAGGCCTCGACGAACTCGTCCAAAGTGCCTATGTAGTCGTGCAACTCCGGCTGGTTTCTTGTGTGGATGTGTTGCAGGCTTGAGTAGTTAATACCGAAAGATTTCTGTTGTTATTATCATTATTATTATTATTATTATTATTATTATTATTATTATTATCATTATTATTATTATTATTATCATTATTATTATTATCATTATTATTATTATTATTATTATTATCATTATTATTATTATTATTATCATTATTATTATTATCATTATTATTATTATCATTATTATTATCATTATCATTATTATTGTTGTTGTTGCTGTTATGATGATGTTGAATAGTGCCAAATTACCTTAGCATCCTCGTCTACATTCAACCCTCCATACGACGACGATGACGACGAGAACGATGATGACGTCAGTAGTGGTTCATCGAGGTCAAGGTCAAACGATTCGAAAAGGTCAAGGACCCCCGTGAGGTAGAAGGCGTCAAAACCTTCGTCCAGCCAGTGTTTGAGTACGTTCTGGTTGTAGAGGTGATGGTGAGTGATGATGATGATGACGATGATGAAGATGATGATGAAGATGATATGGTGATTACAGTGATAGTAATGATACTTGTTGTGATGATGATGGACATGGAATGCAATCGATAGATAAACTTAAAAACATGAACAATATTTTCTTTCTTCCCAAATTTAACAATTTGATCATCATCAAAATACTCATCATCATCATCATCGACACCGCCATCATCATCACCACCACCATCGTCATACCATCATCATCATCCCCGCAAATAACATCATCATCATTACTTTCATTTCCATTTGGACATACAAACACCGATGGTTTAAATCAGGCAGAGTGTAGTGGTTATGGTGATAGTAGTAGCGATTGGTCAGTTTATCGAAAGTCCATGCTGACTGGTCGTCTGTGCTGACCTAAATATTTGAAAAAACGCGTTTTTATTGGTTGTTGTACGGTGTCCGGAAAATTCATCGTGGAAATTTCATCGTGTGGGAGAAAATTCATCGTTTTGAACATTCATTAATAGATTGTCGATTGAAAGACAATATTGACGAAGGTCAGGAATCGACCAGGAAACACCAACAACTGTACCAGTTAATCGATAAATTAATTAAATAAGCCCAAATAATGAATCAATTTTAGCAATTAATTAACAAATTAGACAGAATAGTGAATAGATTACGGCATCTTAACGATTAAACGACAGTTAGCAATTAGTATTATATTGCACGATAGGAGTTGAACCTACTGCATGCTGGTCACCCACAACTATTAATGATAATCTAAGTTAACGAATTCGGGTTCAATTTCTATTATTAATTAATTAAACAGCCTCACAAATATTTCCGCTTAGGGCCTCAATACCTTATAACAATACCACAATGAATTATCCACTATGAATTTTAGCCCACGATGAATTTTCCCCCAAAATGAATTTCCCACACGATGAATTTTTCCCCAAGATGAATTTTCCCCACGATGAATTTTTCACGATGAATTTTACGTAAATCTTGTTGTACTGACCAAATACCTATATATGAAAAACATGATTTCATTGGCTGTTAAAATAATCTGTCATTTTGAAAAACGCTTTCAATTGGTTGTCGCAATAAAATGTGACATTTTATTAATTATTATTATTAATTAATATTATTAATAATTACGATAATGATTATTAATAATTATAACTGACATTACTAACCCAGTTATTTGGCGGTTTAAGAGAACCATCCACCACAACTCCAGCATGCCAAATATAGTAATTTTCATAATCAGAATGATGCTTTTGTTGCTGTTGATGTTGTTGCTGTTGTTGTTGATGTTGCTGTTGATGTTGCTGTTGTTGTTGATGTTGCTGTTGTTGTTGTTGGTGGTGGTGTTTGATGGCCAATCTACTGCTAGTAAACCATTTATGCAGACGGCTGGTTTGGTTGGGATCGAGTTGGATAATTAGTTTTATACCTGGTGATGATGGTAATAACGGTAATAATGATGATGATGACGATGATGATGCTGAGAAGGAACATGATGATGGTGGCGATGATAAAGATGATGACGATGATGAGGATGAACATGATGATAGTGATTAGAATGACGATGACGTTGTTTTTTTTGTTGTTGGTGGTGGTGATGATAATAATGATGACGATTATGAAGACGATGATGATGATGACGATGATGATGGCGATGATGATGATGGCGATGATGATGATAATAACACAACCTTTTTGATGAAATCTCTCAATGAGAATGTGTAGCAAGTGGTTAGTTCCAACCTAAATGTACACCGCATGAAATTTAATGAAAGTTAATTTTTAAAAATTCATTCATCCACCTACCCATCCAATCATTCATCCATCTATCCATTCATTCATTCATTCATTCATCCATCCATCCATCCATCCATTCATTCATCCATCCATCCATCCATCCATCCATTCATTCATCCATTCATCCATCCGTCCATCCATCCATCCATCCATCATTCTAACATGAATGTATTACTAATAATAATAAATTACAAAATCGTTTCCATAATGGTTGACAAATTGATTTATAATAAACTTATAAAATAATTTTTTAAACTATAAGATAATCATTTGTGAGCTTGGTGACTACAAATAATAATAATAATAATAATAAAGTATAATTTTATATAATTTCCCTAATTTTCCTAACTTTAGGGTGAACGTTAGTGAAGTTGGTGATACCCAGGCGACCGTCCTCTTCGACTGATTCCAGGATGTTTGCCAGTATGATTGCATCAACTCCTAAGTATGTGAAGTAATCTAAACTATCCATGACTCCTAGTTATTGAAAGAAAGATTGAAAAAGTCAATCAAACCATTAACTAATCAATCAATCAAACAAACAAACAAACAAACAATCAATCTATCAATCAACCAACCAATCAATCAATCTATTAATTAATCATCAATCAATCAATCAGTTAATCAAATAACATAAAAAATTTATTAGTAAATAATTAATAATTTTAAAAATTTTCAAATAAGTAAAAATAAAATTTAAAAAACATTGTTAATCACCATCATAAACATCTTTGCCATCATCATCAACATCACCATCATCATCAACACCCTCATCATCAACACCATCATCATCATCATCATTATCATCCTCATCCTCATCCTCACCACCACAATCTTTACACCAATTAACCTCTCAAATCTCCAATGCCATCACCATTAGAGTCCCACACATCCGACATTACATCAATCCGATAAATAGTTGACTTTTTCCACCAGGAATGTGACAAAATTTGTTTCTGCTGCTGCATCTTTGCCTCATTCCCATACTCCTCTTTTAATTTTTCCAGTTCTTTGTTATTGCACCAGTTGACGAATAGGATGAAGGCAATGACCCCGAGCAAGGCAGCCAGTAGAGTTATGCTTTGGTCGAGTAAAGGGCGTTGTTGCTCGGATATTTTTTGACGGAGAGTCTGTAGATGTCGCTCCCGATCCGTCAGATCTTCATCCTCTTCTTTTTCATACTCCTAAAGTTGCATTATGTCAGACAGTGAAAAATTTTAAAATTTTAAAACAAATTAATTAAACTCATTAATGATTAAACTAGGATGCCATTAATCAGCCACAAAACCAACACAAACCTTCAAAAGTTTCAAAAAATTCGGATCATTGAAATCTAATTCCGGCAGAGGAACTTTCAGCTTGACATCGAACCCAGCGTCACCGTCGTAATCTGAACCATTGTTAGTGAAAAATGAATTAGGTTTAGAATTTCTTTTCCTAGCTCGCAAAATATCGTCATCATCGTCGTCATCGCCATCTTTGTTTAACGTCATTCGGCGGTAAAATTTATTAGACATGATTTTAATTTAAATAATAAAATAATTTCGTCTAAAAACCCGATCCATTTAAAATTTAAATGACAAATAAAAACAAAAAGTGAATCTATTAAATAAATCCATATAAAAGTGGATCGAGATAATAAATTTTTGCCTTTTCAAATGAAACACATACAGTTAAAAGCTATTTACGCTTACAATAACAACAACTTAACGTCATATATGGGTATTTATTTATATAATTTTTTCCATTTTTATTTATTTACGCATATATATTTCTAACTAATGTTTAATAAATATAAATACATATAAATGCTTTTAAACTACTTTAGACCTTACTAGGCAGAAGATTTCAGTTAATTTAACTATTAATCAACTAAAACCAATTAATTTTATTCTGACGAGAGAGAATTTTAACAAAACTTTCATTATAAAACATTAAAGTATTATTGAATGTTAACACCGCAATGAACAAAAATTTAACTAACAAAAACAAATTAAATTATGTATTTGTGTGTGTCTGTGTGTATGTATGTATGTTTGCTTGTTTGTGTGGTGTGTGCGCGTGTGAGTCTTTATCATTCTTATAGTTTTAATAGCATAATAACAAACATAAGGTAAAAAACCCCAACGAAATAAACTCCATATTAACATATTAATAATGATATCTGCTTCATCATATCATGCATATTACCGTGTATCACATCGTATACTGTAGTATCATATATCATACCATATAATATCATATCTTATATCATACCATATAATATCATATCTTATATCATACCATTTATCCCATCACATCATATATCATATCATATAATATCATATCATATCCTATATCATACTATTTATCCCACCATATCCAATCATGTCAGACGTCATATAGTATCGTATCACATTATATATCATATCGTATATAGTATCATATATCCTACTATCTATCCCACACTAACCATCTCAAATAATATCATCATAAAACTGGGGAGATTTTTCTGCCTTTTTGGGAGAAAAAAAAATAAATAAAACACCTCTTTTTAACTACTGTCAATGAAGCCTCCAAGGCCCTGACCTAATTTCTTTCATCTCCCTGGCTACTTTTCATAGAGTCTTCGGGGCCCTGACCTAATTTTTTTTGTCCCTACAGCTATAAAACACGTCACCGTCACCTCTCAAATAATCGCCCTCTGTATTAGTTGCAGTATCGAGGTAAGTTTTGTAGTGGCCATAGGTAAGAATTGAACTGAAGCAGGCCGGATTAGCAGATGGTGGAAAGTTGAAGTAGTTGTTGTTGTTGTGGTTGTGGTTAGGATTTGGGCTACTAGCTTGGTTGTAATTGTTGTTTTGGTTGATGAAGTGGACGTCACTGTCGTTGTTGTAGTTGCTGCTGTTTGGGAAGTTCCTTTCATTATTATTGTTGTTGTTGTTGTAAAAGTTCGAGCCATTATTATTATTATTATTATTGATGTTGTTATTGTCGAGATAGTTTGCGTAATTATTATTATTACTATAGTTGTTGTTGTTGTTGTTGTTTTGGAAAGTCCATCCATTGTTATTATCATAACTGTTGTTGTTGTTGTTGTTGTTGTTACTAAAATTGTTGTTGTTGTTATTGAAGTTGTTGTTGTTGTTATTGAAGTTGTTGTTGTTATTAAAGTTGTTGTTGTTATTGTTGTTGTCAAAACGTATGTTAAATGTTCTGTTGATTATCGGATCCCTGATCAAAGTTAGAACCAGGAATGTAAGCGTGGAAAAACTCCACAGTGAATAAAAGCCTGTAAATGAATGAGTGAATGAATGATCGAATGAAAGAGTAAAAACATGAATTAATGAATAAACGAACTAGTGATGAAATTAATGAATGATTGAAAAGACGAGTGAACCAGTGAAAAAATGAAAAGACGAATGAAAAGATGACTTAACTAGTAAAGATATAAAAGAACGAATGAATGAATGAACGAACGAACGAATGAATGAACGAATGAATGAACGAATGAATGAACGAATGAATGAATGAATGAACGAATGAATGAATGAATAAACGAATGAATGAATGAACGAACGAATGAATGAATGAATAAATGAATGAATGAATGAACGAAACAAACAATACAACTAACCTGTCAGAAGACTCCAGCATACAACCATTGCAATTTCACTGCCATAGAACAACATCCAGTTTTTCATAGATAAAACTGCATGAAAAAAAATAAAAATAACAATAATAATAATAAAATAATAATAATAATAATGATAATATAGAAGCAACAAAAACAACACACTTTTGTTTTTTGAGTTTTCAGTGTGGTTCAAGTGCAGATTGTCACATAGGGCAAAGGCTGGGTGATGGTGAAAATATTAATTATAGAAATTATTATTATTAAAATATGAAACCAACCAGCCAACCAACCAACCAAACAAATGAACCAACCAACCAACTAACCAATTAACTAAGCAACCAACCATCTAACCAACCACCCAACCAACCAACCAACCAACCAACCATCTAACCAACCATCCAACCAACCAACCGAAAACGAGACAAAACATGGCGAAGCAGATGAAATCCCACTGTGGTGGACAATTGTAGAGGGAGACGAGCGTCAGACCGTACATGTAGGGGATGATGACGAGTGATTCCAAGACAACGGACAGCTGGCCACTACCATTCCATGGGATTACCATGTTTACGCTCCCGTTCAAATCCCTAAACTATTATGACGTCATTAAGTTATTTCATTTCTTTTTTATATTTACAATAACAACAACAACAACAGCAACAACAACAACCACAACAACAAACCTGATAAAAGAGTCCGACGAGAAGGTAGGTCAGCTGCATGGTGCAGGCCACCAGCAGGGCTGACCTATTGACCTGGCTAAAAATAGATGCTACTAGATGGCTGACTATACAAACGAACCACAATGGTATGCCAAAGTTCATGGTCAGAAATTTACGGAGGTCGTCTGCAATAATTAATTAATTCTGCAAAGGTAAAACAATGAAGTGAATAATGCATTAATCAATCATACAACCAGCCAGTCAACCAACCAACCAACCAATCAGCCAACCATCCAGCCGATCCCATAAACTCACCATTATCCTTCTCCTCCATCACTAACTCCCACTCTGGTTCCCGGCGGCGATCTCCATCATCAACATCATCATTCCTCCTTCTCCTACTACTGCCTCTATTACAATTACCACTAGTAGTAGTGGTGGTAGAAGCAGCAGCGTCAGCAGCGTCAGCAGAGGCCAATTTGAAATACTTTTTGAAGAAGAGTTTCAAAATGTCGACGTTGAAAATGCGAGAAATTGCTATTAGGACCAGGCACTGTACCGTGCTTATTACTGACATGTAGTATATAGTTTCCTGAAATGTCTGTAGATTGAAAGGCGAGCCAGCGTGAATTCCAAGAAGGGCCAATAAGGTAATTAGGAGACCTCCGTAATCTGTGTGTGTGTGTGTTTGTGTGTGTTTGTGTGTATGTTGTGTGTGCGTGTGTATGTGTGTGTATGTTGTGTGTGCGTGTAAGTGTGTAAGTGCGCGCGCGTGCGTGTGTGTGTGTGTGAATGTATGTGTGTATGCGTGTACAATATTAAAATAGGAACAATGACAATCTTACTTATTTTTGCTCTGGACTTAATAAACCTCGTCAGAGTGAAATGTACGGCTGTTTGAAATGCATAAAATAGATTTACGATGCCTAGAGTCGATAGGCTGATGTGGTAGCTACGTGCAACGCTCGATAGTTTCGTCACAACGTCATCAAACGATGAGATGAACTTTTCAAGACTGTGTGGACAGATCTGTGTGCGAGCGTGTGTGTGTGTGTCCGTTTGTGTGTGTGTGTGTTTGTCTGTCTGTGTGCGTATGTGTGCGTGTGTGTGTGTGCGTACACGGACAGTTGGAACAATAAAAAAATTAAGAAAACCAGACAAAGAAGATACAAGAATCCGCAAAACGCATCTTTACCTTGCTTCTACCAAGACCATCGTCTTCATTAATAGTTTCAGTCTGGAAAAATGTGCTGACAAGCAAGAAAGACATGCAGGTGGCTATATAAAAAAGCGGTTTCAAAAGGACCAGAAACCGTAAGAAAGTCATAAGTAGTGGCCGTTGTGGCTGCATTGGCGGCTCTTGTGGCGGTCCCTCGTTTGGAATGTTTTTCGCAGAGCCCCGTCTTCCAGGTTGACTTGTGTTACTTTGTCTTCTGCTCAATTGTGATCTGCTGCTGCTACTACTCATGTTGTTAACGGTAGGAAAAAAAAGGCTGTTGTTGTTGTCATCATTGCTGTTGTTGTTGTTACTGATGATTCCAGTGTTGTTGTTGTTGTCGTCGTCGTAGTTGTTGGTGCTGCTGAAGTTGTTGTTAGTTGTACCGGGAATGTTGTTGTTGATGTTGTTGGCGGAAACATTAATCTCTAGACTGCTTCCTCTTCTCTGATTTTTAATTAAAATTTCAAATAATTTTACATGAAATGGTGAAAATACTAGAAAAATGAAAACACATTTTACACATTACAGAAATCATTTTAGAATCTTTAAAAAAAAAAAATTATCAACAAAGTCATTAACAGCAGTGCCAACGAAAAATGAAAGATTATATTGACACAAAACAATTAAACTATGAAAATACCATTTTTCAAAAAAAAATTACAAAGAAGGTAGTAGTAGCAGTAGTAAATGAATCAATACTTGATTGTCTGTCACACTCTGTAGCCTGCTACTGCTACTCTGGCTGCTGGCTTCGGCAGCTTCAGTGACTGAACTCTGGTTATTTTCATTGCTAGCAGAAGAAGAAGCTAAACTGGGTGAGTTTTTAGCAAAGTTGAGCCTGAGAAGCCGTGACGTGGAACGGCTAGGAAGGAAACTCGAGCTATCATTTGATGTTCGCCCACGGCTAATCGAATGTCTGAATGACGAACTGGCTTCATCAACAGTTGGAATTCTGTAGAAAAAATTGCTAACTACTTTTCTTAATAAATTTAATTTAAATGAATATTTATTCAAACTAACTGATGTTTAATGAATTTTTGAAGAAAAAACTAAAGTAAGGAAGTAAATTAACAAACCTCAAAGTTTCTGAAGATCTTAACCGACCAGACGACCTTGTACTTGAGCTCCTTGTGGACCTGGTCTCCTCCAGTTCCTCTTCCTCATCGTGCTGGCTGCGTCTGGTGGGAGATTTGTTTCTCTTTTTCGGACCCATTTCGCTCCGGCTTTGCACTTAGTTAGAGACTTAAATCTTAGAATGTTATTTTTTTAAATTTTATTTTTAAATAAAATAAAAAAGGAATGATGCCAAAAGCTACTAAAGCTAAAAGCTAAGGCAACTAAAAGCTAACAACTTCTGTGAAAAAAGTAAATCAAAGTAGAGTACTAAAGTCGGAAAATTAAAAGAAATATAATTTTTGATACAAAATAATAAAGAAATAAATATACTTTAAAATGAATTTCTCAAAAACAAAATTTTTAACGTAAAAGAAGACAATTTTTCGTAAACTTCTGCAACAAAATTTAAAAATGACACCAAAGCGTTGTCATGGAGAAAAAAGTGACCGTTAAAGTTGTGAGGCGCTTCATTTTTCTATTTTCACAAAATACCACATCATTCAACACAAATACAATTACTTAAATATACAATCTAGACCAAAATAAGGATCTAAATCATCACTCCTAAATCAAACACTATTAGCATATACACATACGTACAATACAAATTATAACACACCATGGTTTTAGAACTTTTGGGTCAAAATTCCACAAAGAAACACACACACAGTCACAAACAACAACATATACATATACATGTTTATTCTATATATACTATAATTCTACTAAAACTGTCAATAATTATATATAGCCATACATGTAGTCATGCAACCAAACACACGCACACGCATCCCCCACACACACATACTTACATACATACATACATACATACATACATACATACATACATACATACATACATACATACATACATACATACATACATACATACATACATACATACATACATACATACATACATACATACATACATACATACATACATACATATATACATACATACAATAATAAATATCTCCAGAGCTCAAATATTTTAGGTAAGAGAAAAAATTTAGAAGGCATAGATAATAAATGGGCTGATGAAAATTAATTTTCTTTGCAGGAATCTTGCTGCTTTATTAACTAATGATATTATTTCTATTGTAGTTGCTGAACTGTTGCTATTGTTGTCGTTGTCGTTGTTGTTGTTGTTGTTGTTGTTGTTGTTGTTGTTGTTTTGTAGTGTGTATCCTAAATATTTTTCATAGGCTTCAACAACGAAACCAGCACACGACACATACACCACAACACAAACATTTCATGTGGTTGGCAAGGATTACTTGGGATTCGAACTATGTCTCTGCAAAAGTCGTGACATGCACCTTAGCTATATACACACGCAAAAACACACACACAAATAGACAAACAAACAAAAAAACAATCAGCTCACATTACAAAATGCATGGCTCGATACATTCTACAATTAAGACAAACTTGTTAGGCTTATTTTGCGATCTTATTATTACTATATTAACCTCTTTGATGACTTGATATTAGAAAATAATAATAATGATAATGATAAAAATAATAATAATAATAACGACTTTATTCGGTCATCAATAATAATTTTTTTGCTTGAATGTTTTGCGTCATGTGTGTGTGTGTGTGTGTGTGTGTGTGTGTGTGTGTATGTGTGTGTGTGTATGTGTGTGTGTGTGCTCTGTTATTATTGTTACTGTTATTATTGATATTCACATTTAAACGTTATAATTAGATTATGCAGCGGCTTCTTCATCTTCTTCTAATTATCATTGCTTATATTATTATTGTCTAATGATGAATTAAAATAATATCCAATAATACAAAACAATACGAAAAGTAACTCAAAACAATACAAAAGTAACTCAAAACAATACAAAAGTAACTCAAAACAATACAAAATAATGCAAAATAAAACAATATTTTTTTATTATTCTTTAAAAATCAGGAGCTGACAGACGCAGATACAAATGATGCAGACGATGCAGATGATACAAAATGTTACAAAATTGATACAAAAAAGATACAAAAATCATAACTGAATGCTTGCGACATTGATATCAGTTATCAAAATGTGAAAGAAAAAACAAGAGCTAAAAAAATACAGATTATTACTTTCTGAGCATCATATCCTAATATGGAGCTCCGCTGATCAGTGATAACATACTTAATCAAGCGTGTGATAGCTCGTAACATACATACATGCATACATACATACATACATACATACATACATACATACATACATACATACATACATACATACATACATACATACATACATACATACATACATACATACATACATACATACATACATACATACATACATACATACATACATACATACATACATACATACATACATACAAAAAACATACATACAAATGAACAAGCAAACACAAACAAACACATTTACACATATGTTGCATGTATAGCTTCTCAGCCAATCATATTCTTCAAAAGTTGCATCTATTAATAGATACATTCAAGCAGGAACGAACGAACGAACGAAAGAAAGTAAGAAAGTAAGAAAGAAGAAATGAAAATAAGATGGATTGAATAAATGGATGCATGGAGCGCATGAATGCATGCATGCACTAAAAAAAGCAAAAAAAACAATTCACTGTATTCGAAACGAACGAACGAACAAACAAATGAATGAATGAATGAAAAATAAATAAATAAACAAACGAACGAACGAATAGAAAAAGAGGTATAGTAAAAGTAATAGTATTAAGTAACAGTAGTGTTGGTATTGTTTCGATTTCATTCCAAAAGCCAAATCGAGAAATAAACATTTGAGGTTATAGTAACGATACTTATTATTATTATTATTAGCAGTATTAGTAGTAGTAGTGGTAGTAGCAGCAGTAGTAGCAGTTTTAGTAGTAGTAGTAGCTGTGGTTGTTGTTGTTTTTATTACTGATTTTATAGCAACAAAGACGATATTTTTTTTTAAATAAATAAACACTTGCATGTGTGTGTGAGTGTGTGTGTGCGTTCCTATCCTATCTAAGCAAATGTTTTTTTCGTGTGCCCCTTTGATTTATTAATTTCCATAACGAACCTAAAAAATTCTGTTCTCTGACAAGCAAAATATCAAAATTTTTGTCTATATCGGCAGCGCATTCATTCATCTCTTCTCTCGTTCCTTCATTCATCCATTTGTTTGTTCATTCATTCATTTGTTCGTTCGTTTATTCGTCCATTTGTTTGTTCATTCGTTTGTTCGTTCGTTCATTCATTCATCTAGCCTATTTAGCATATTTTTTTTACATTTGTTTATTTTTGAATTCTTCCATTCATTTATTCATTCAAGCATGCATTTACTCATTCATCAATTCATCAAAATATTCATTTACTCATTTATTTATTCATTCATTCATGCCTTCATTCATTCATCCATCCATCCATTCATTCTAAACAATTCATTTTTTCAATTTTAAAAACACACCATCCTAGACCAATGTTAAAAACACGATAACAATGCCTCCCTCTCACCCATCCACTCACTCACAGCATCCACATCTCTCGCCTCTCTCTCTTGTTTTCTCAATAATGTTTCAACCTAACTCTACATACATCTCTTACTTCTCTCTTTCTCTCTTTCTCTCTCTCTCTCTCTCTCTCTCTCTCTCTCTCTCTTGTTTTTATTCTTTCATTCCATTCTTTCACTAGTTTCGTTCATTCGTCTATACAAATACACATTATATTTAGCAAGAAAGAGAGAGAGAGAAGAGAGAGAGAGAGAGAGAGAGAAAGAGAGACAGACAAACAGACAGAGAAAGAGAGAGCAAAGGAGCAAACAGATAGACAGACAGACAGACAGACACACACACACATGTTGTATATATAGAATGTATTTATATATACATGTATAATATAGAAGCAATGGTTAATAGTTTTATTGTTGAGAACAGCTTAAAGGAGCGGCTTTCCGGAGTGGTGGTGATGATGATGATGACGACGACGACGATGATAATGATGATGATAACAATGATGATGATAATGATAATTATGTTAATAATAATAATAATAAGGAAAATAATCTCGATTAGATAATGACGACGACGATGATAATGCCGATGATGATGATCTCGACAACAACCGTGATGATAATGATGATGATGATCTCGACAACAACCGTGATGATGATGATGATGATGATCTCGACAACAACCGTGATGATGATGATGATGATCTCGACAACAACAACCACGATGATGATGATGATGACGACGGCGATGATGATGATGACGACGACGACGATGAAGATGTTTGGTATAAATACACCACAACAACGATCGTTCGATTTGGAGATAAGTCTTGAGTTGGTTGCGAGTCAGTAGTCCCGCTAAATTAAAATCCAATTAGCTTCCCTGCCCTACAGGCTGGTATCGCATAATTATCATAAAATTATCATATATTATCATAAATAATTATATTATAACTTGTTATAATTTTAATTTTAATAAATTTTTCGACGTTGTTAGCCTTGCTAATTTTCGACTGGATATTTAGAAGTTTTGCGGTGAGTAAAAAAAATATTTTCGCAACTACTACTACCACCACCACCACTACTACTACTACTAATACTACTACTACAACTACTACTACTACTTCTACTACTTCAACATGTTTTTAAGTATATTTAATTTATAATAATTATAATAAAGAAAATAATAATTTTGTCTGTGTGTGTGTGTGCGTGTGTGTGTGTGTTTGATCGAGATACCTCTGGAAAATAATTAACGCAGAATTAATAATAGCAACAATAATAATATGAACAAAAATAACAATAATAATAATATAAATAATAATAATGTAAATGATAAATTTTGATACAGAAATTATAATAGTATCAGAGGTACCAGCACAAATCCAAAATGGCCACAGACGTGACGAGGGTCGTCAGAAGGTAGCGCTATATAAATGACCATTTTCTCAACTCATGTAGCTACCCTCAGTTCACTAATAAACAATTTTTCACACAGTATATAAATGATCTTTTATTTCAATTTATGTAGCACTTCATTTTTTCTTTCTCCCTACGTAATTCTTTGATTAACTATAAAATCTTCTTACGTCACAGTTTAAATGTTCGTTTACTCGATT